TACACACTCTGAAAAAAACTGAACCTGACGAGAGAGAGAGAGAGAGAGAGAGAGAGAGAGAGAGAGAGAGAGAGAGAGAGAGAGAGAGAGAGAGAGAGAGAGAGAAATATATGTAGTAGATATGATGGAGAAAAATAGGTCAGAGAAAAACCGATCCTGCAGGCAGAAATAACAAACATACACACACACACACTAAAGCGCTCACTCACCCAGATAATCAATAAATAATTTTGTGGTCAGCACATCAAAGTGAACGCGAGCACCAGCGCTGCTTCGCGTTTCATATAGAAACTATTTCTTCAATAACAACAATCGTCAGCAACAATAACAAACACAAAACTCATCCCCATTTTTTTTATCCTACTTTTCATTTACCCTGCAACAGTCATCTCTCTACTGTGAGTCCCTCATCTTCAGACAATGGTCTCAACACTATCACTCCCTCAATCATCCTCCCTTTTCATTTTCCATTCACCAGCATCCGTCTTGCTCTCCCACACTTCATCTGTCATGCATACCAGCATTATCCTTACTCTAATGAGACTTAATTGAATTTCTCAGATTAGGCAAAATTTTACTTAATTTTTGTCAATAAAGATATTAATAATCAATACAGACGTAGGTTCGAATCCTCGTCACGGCCTTTGTGGATTTGTTCATATTAATAATAATAATGCATCTCCAGCAGCAGCTTTCTTATTCTTCAATACTTCATCTCCCTCAGTAATTTCGTCTCTAACAGCATCCTTAATTTTTTTATATCTCCTTCAAAAATTTAACTCCAGCAGCATCCCCCTCTCTCTCTTTCTCTCCGCCCTCAACACCTCTTCCTTAGCCTTCCATCCTTCTGAATACAGTCCCCATCACCTTTCCACCCCTCCTTTCCTCCCTCCTCTCCCCTACTCTCTCTCCTCTCCCCTACTCCCGCCTCTCCCCTACTCCCTCCACCATATCCCAACACACACTGACCAGCATCCTGACCCCTGTATTCATTTTAAGACAAGCCGGATGTCAAGGCATCACCCCCCGCCAGGTCGCTTTCCGCCACCATGGCTACCTGACAGCTGGGAAAAGCTGTGATTTAGTTCTTTTTTGTCTTTTCCAGGACAGCTTCCAGCGGTAATTTGATTTTCTAAAGACATAAGACTCAAGAAAACTGCAGAAGACTCATTGGCTTATACGCGATAGTAACCAATTTATATCCACCTAAACTCGTGTATATATGAAAATATATAAAGTATATTGTATATATGTTTAGCCTACTCTCAAAACCCTCCTGCGATCTCAGGTCGTAACTACGTTACCCGAAAGTTTGTTCCACTATTCAACAGCCCTGTTTATAAACCAGTATTTACCCAGGTTCTTCCTGAATCTAAACTTCAATCTATTGCTTTGTTTTGTTTAAAGTACAATATTGTCTTGATAAATTTATCCATTCGTATCCATTTATATACTTTAATAATGTCAACCCCAATACTCACCGTTTTTGTAGAGAATGTAACAGGCTCGTTTCTTTATCTTCATAAGCGAGGTTCTTGATAACAATGTATTTAATCTAAGAGAAAATCATTTTTATAAGGATATGATGTTTGTGCATTGATTTAAGGAACCCTCACTGTGGTTCAGGCCATTAAAGAACACACGCAGGATCCAGGACTTGCAACGCGCCGGAAAATACCCCAGAAACTTCAGTATCACAGACAATCTTGTTATCTTTAACCCTTATTTACCCTTTGGAGATAATGACTAAAGAATAACCCAGTACATCGTCCAACCCCACGGAACTTAAGGAACCCAAGTTCCTTGCAAGCAAGGAACTCAGATAGCCGTGACACCCCTGCATACTCAGAAAACACTGAATTAATACTTCTAGATACACTACTATACACCAGCCAGGGGAGTCTGAGATCCGTGAAGCATACGGGAATCTCCAAGGGTTCATTCAGATTCTTCGCAGTAATGACAGGTCAAACGCCTCGTCAGCTTGGTCGACGTCATACCTACGTACTTAGATTGAAGGTTACATCCTTCATGGGGGCAAGTATACATGTATACAACGCTTGACTGCTGTAAAGGGTTCTCCGTCGGCTTCGGGATGTTTTTGATAAGGAGTTCGGTAGTCTTCTTGGTTTTGTAGAATATGATCAGGTCTATGATCATATTCTATTACTCCTATGTTAGGAGTAATGCTTTTTACTCCTTTACGGATTATTTCTTTCATTATTCTTTCATTATTCTTTCATTATTCTTTCATTATTCTTTCTTCCTTTTTATATTCACTGTGCGTGTTTGATTTGTAATATAAATTTTATTGGAGGTATTCTGGTTTATGTTCCAGGTTCAGGATTATACCCTCGGCCCAAGTGTCTTCTTATAGCAGCGTTTATTTCCGTGTTGCTATACCCGTTTTTCACCAATACCTGAGTTATTCTTTCAAACTCTGTACTCACGTTGCTCCATTCGGAGCAGTGGGTAAGCACTCGACGGAAATAAGCATTGAGAACACTGGCTTTGTATCTTTGATAGCTTTGCATCTAGCTATCAAATAGACGGTTGGGGCGGTGGTGGTTGTGTGATAGTGATGGTGGTGGTGATGGTGATGGTAGTGGTGATGGTGAAGGGTGGTATAGTGGTGATGGTGGTAGTCGTTTGGAGAGCGGAAAAGAATAGGGTGCTTCGAGGTGTGGGTGGGGGTGAGGGGGGGGGAGGGGAGGGGGGAGAAATAAATAGTTTACCGCGGTCACTTCTTGGCGTCAGAGTTCACCAGCAGGGCGGTAATAGCGCGCTCCGGGTAATTAGTAATAGGCAGTTAGTCCTTCTGAACAATTACCTTAGCAAACAGCCAGGCAGAGAGCGTCATGTGAGAAGCTGAGAGCTTCCGAGGCTTTGTTTACAAATATTCGCTCATTGTTTGAAGGGGGGGGGGGGGGAGGGGGTGTTTGCTGGGCACTTTTTTGTGTTTGTTTTGCTTTCTGTGTTTGTGTTTTGCTTTGTGTTTCAGCGCGTGTTTGCATCTGTGTGGTTGGGTGCGTGTTTGTGTGCGTTCGAGCCTGTACACTCGCCTAATTGTACTCGCCTTGTTGTGCTTGTGGGGGCTGAGCTTCGAATCTTTAGTCCTACCTCGCATCAATTAGTCAACTGATGTACAGGTTCCTGAGCCTATTGGACTCTATCTACATTATAAACTGTGTATGGAGTCTGCCTCCACCACGTCACTTCCTAATGCATTCCACTTATTAACAACTATGACACTGAAACACTTATTTCTAACGTCTCTGTAGCTCATTTGGGTACTTATTTTATTTATCTGTGTCCCCTGGTGAGTACCACTATTGTTAAATTGTCGGAATTTATGTTCCCAATCAATTTGTATACGGTAATCAAGGCTCTTCTAACTCTTCTGTCTTCTAGCGACGTCAGGTTTAATTTCTGCATACCTTTTCTTGTAAGTCATTCCTCGTAATTTCTGATACTAATCTGGTGGCATACCTTTAACCCTTCACCAACTTCATCCTGTGCTTGATTAGATATGAACTAGACACCTGAAGCCGCATGCTCCAGGCATCTGATATGATATCAGAAGCACGATATCAGATATCGTACAATTTTGAATGTATCCTTACAACATTTCTTAAGGTAGTTTTCTTCAGGAACTGCAGAGTTCCCGAAGCAACACCGAACCAGCTTCGGTGTGATTTCAACCTCGTCATCCTTATTTCTGTCCAATATTTGGAGGATTTTATCTTCCATTTGGTGACCAATTTCCGGTCTTCTGCTCCCTACGACAGTATACGCGTTTCCTGTTTTGTTGAATGCGTGTATTTGCGTGTAACCGTTTGATTGTGTGTGTTTATGTGTGTGTGTGTGAGGTCCAGCTTTGGGGGGGGGGCCTCCTCTTAACAATCTCAAGTACTTGGTATGACTATTGTAGACGATGAGGAGGACTGTGTCAAAAGCTTTCCGACAATCCAAGAAAATGCAGTCTGCCCAACCTTCTCTTTCTTGCTTAATATTTGTCACCTGATCGTAGAATTCAATTAAACCAGTGAGGCACGAGTTACATCCCTGAACCCATGTTAGTTGTGTGTTACGAAGTCCTTCTCTCCAGATGTGTTACTAGATGTGTGTGTGTGTCTATACCTGACCATGTTCACTTAACTAAAGCACCACATAGTTGGGTCCCTATGCCCCATGCTTCCATATACCAACTTTTGAACACACGTATGGGCGCGTTAAAGTGACTTGACACACAAGATAAAAGAAAATAACACCAATCTACGAAAAAAAATCGTAAGTTGAACAAAGAAATAGGAATAAAAATCCCTTAAACTTTTTAAATAAGCAGTCCCTACCTCGCCTAAAAACACAATCGCTTTCCTCCACAGCATCATCAGTAAAGTTTGTCTCACCCAAAGGTAATGATCTCAACTGTGTAGATTGTAAAGAAATGTCCATAGTAGCAGTCAGGGACTTCACAGTGAATAGTTGGAAGGAGAGGCCGCTCCTACAAGCACAAACAGAATAATGGCCCCCCCTCCCAATCCTTAACCCCCCCCCCCTCCACACACCCCTTAAACCATTTTCCAATGGTCTAATGTATGCCCGTGGTCGCTTTCAGCTAGTGACCTGCCCTGACCTCGTCGCATACAAAGAAAGAGGTTTCTGCGGGAGACATTTTTGACATGTATAACAAAGGTCGCTCTGCTCGGTAAAGTGACGGACGGAGAGTATTCATTGACAGGTAAGGAGCGCTCTTTTCTCCCTCCCTCCCTTAGAAGAAGAATTCAAACGAGTCTTAGTAAATAACAGTGGTAATGAAATTATAATGGCGGCATCAGAAGCTTTTCAATTTAGCACGGGCGGACAGAGTCAAGAGGATCACACACACACACACACACACACACACACACACATAAGGTTCTCTGCCAAGGGAACCACACATGCGAGAACCTTTTGCCAAAATGACTATAAAATATTCACAGTTTTAGGATCTCCAGAGGATGACTACAGTATTGAGAGCCGTGTTCACGAGGGCCAGGCCAGAACCCCGTCCTCGAGAACCAGGCCAGAACCACGTCCTCGAGAACCCGGCCAGAACCACGTCCACAAGCTCAAGGCCAGAACCCCGTCCACGAGAACCAGGCCAGAACCACGTCCTCGAGAACCAGGCCAGAACCACGTCCACAAGCTCAAGGCCAGAACCCTGTCCACGAGAACCAGGCCAGAACCACGTCCTCGAGAACCAGGCCAGAACCACGTCCACAAGCTCAAGGCAAGAACCCCGTCTACGAGGGCCAGGCCAGAACCACGTCCACGAGAGCCAGGCCAGAACCACGTCCACAAGCTCAAGGCCAGAACCCCGTCCACGAGAACCAGGCCAGAACCACGTCCACATGCTCAAGGCCAGAACCCCATCCACGAGTACCAGGCCAGACCCACGTCCACGAGGGCCAGGCCAGACCCACGTCCACGAGGGCCAGGCCAGACCCACGTCCACGAGGGCCAGGCCAGACCCACGTCCACGAGGGCCAGGCCAGACCCACGTCCACGAAGGCCAGGCCAGACCCACGTCCACGAGGGCCAGGCCTGACCCACGTCCACGAGGGCCAGGCCAGACCCACGTCCACGAGGGCCAGGCCAGACCCACGTCCACGAGGGCCAGGCCAGACCCACGTCCACGAGGGCCAGGCCAGACCCACGTCCACGAGGGCCAGGCCAGACCCACGTCCACGAGGGCCAGGCCAGACCCACGTCCACGAGGGCCAGGCCAGACCCACGTCCACGAGGGCCAGGCCAGACCCACGTCCACGAGGGCCAGGCCAGACCCACGTCCACGAGGGCCAGGCCAGACCCACGTCCACGAGGGCCAGGCCAGACCCACGTCCACGAGGGCCAGGCCAGACCCACGTCCACGAGGGCCAGGCCAGACCCACGTCCACGAGGGCCAGGCCAGACCCACGTCCACGAGGGCCAGGCCAGACCCACGTCCTCGAGGGCCAGGCCAGAACCACATTCATGATATATTTAATTTTCATCTTCAGAGAACTTGTGATACATTTCGATACATGTGATACAGAGATACATTCGTCCTGACTTAGACCCACACATGTAAACGTATCTCCACTTCGCTGTTTAACTAAGCTAAGAATTTAAGCTTAGTTTAGTTATTTGACTCTTTATTTACAGTGTGGACTAACCCCCCACGCTGGTGTGTGGAGGTTCAGTACTTTTCAGGTTATATTCCATGTTAATGAGATCTGAGGAAGGTTGGGAAACGTTTGTGTAATTTGCCGTGGCTCAAAAGGCAGTTTATTAGGACATAACAGAAAAAATATGTCCGATATCGCATCGTCAGTAATTGTGTTTAGTTTATGCGAGGGGGAAAAAAAGGAAAGATTTTCTGATCGATCAAGTCGCACTTGATCGATCGTTTGACATGCTTAGACATTCGTGCATATATATATATATATATATATATATATATATATATATATATATATATATATATATATATATATATATATATATATATATATATATATATATGGCCTTATCTTCATCCTACAAAATAGAGTCAGGTGTAATTCAGTGTCTGTGTCAGGTAGTGGATAAACACGACCCAACACCCATGAACCGAGTGCTGGTGGGGAGGGGTAGGGGTAGGGGTAGGGGTAGGGGTAGGGGAAAAGGGTTCAAGGTAGGGTCATGGTGGGGGTGACCAAGCCTCCGTGTGCAGGTGTTCTGATCACTTGTCCCTAGGGGTCATGACCCAGGTCAGCTGGGCTCAACACCTCTCCTTTGTGCGGGGCGTTAAAAGTGCGACCTATTAAGTCAGATTAGGGACCCTCAAATGCCCCAGTGGGTCCAAGGTGTGGTATCGAAGGGATGCCCTTATAGGCGGGTGGGTTGAGGGGGGGGGGAGCACATGGGTGGACCTGTGGCTGAGGTCCATGTCTCAACCACAGTGTGGAGGAAGTTCCCATGAATGGGTATGTACCTTTGGGTTATACTGCAATATACATATATATATATATATATATATATATATATATATATATATATATATATATATATATATATATATATATATGTGTGTGTGTGTGTGTGAGTTTAAGTAAATCACGAAAATTAACACGCGATGAAAAATGTGACAGTGTCAGACCACGAAGGAAGAATTGAAACAGGAATTTCCTTAAGTACTTTCGTATTTAATAATACGTCTTCAGAAGGAATGATTCTTCTCTCTCTCTCTCTCTCTCTCTCTCTCTCTCTCTCTCTCTCTCTCTCTCTCTCTCTCTCTCTCTCTCTCTCTCTCTCTCTCTCTCTCTCTCTCTCTCCCTCCCTCCTTTCACCTCCTCACCATCCACTCACAACACTGCTCCGTCTCCCACACCTCACACAATGAACCGAGACACCAGACAATATAGGCTTATTACCCCGAGAAAATAATCCCCAGTCTGGGATAATGGTGCGAGCGAGGAGAGCGTCGTCGGTGTGTGGGCTCGGCTCCTCAAATGTTTTTGTTGTCAACACAAGACCAAGCAGACCACTCTCCAAGATGCCTTTGCTAAGAATTATTAGTTGGGTTTCCCAGAGACACCTGGTGGTGGTGGTGGTGATGGTTGTGGTGGTTGTGGTTGATGGTGGTAGCGTTAGCTTGTGTGTAGTCTTGTGTAAACAGGCATACAGGTCATGCCTCAGCTCCAGGGCTCCACCTTTCAGTCGCTGGGTGATCAAATTGGTCCCCCGCTTTCTTGCGTCTATATCATTCTAACTCTTGAAATAGGAAGGAATGATATATTCCAAATAGGAAGGAATTTGGGGGGCACCAAAGAGCTTTGGCTCTTTGGTGCCCCCATCTCAACTGTCAATCAAATAGTGTACAGATTCCTGAACCTACTGGGCTCTATTATATCTACATTTGAAACTGTGTATGGAGTCAGCCTCCACCACATCACTGCCTAATGCATTCCATTTGTTAACTACCCTGACACTGAAAAAGTTGTTTCTAACATCCCTGTGGCACATTTGGGTACTCAGTTTCCACCTGTGTCCCCTTGTTCGCGTACCACCTGTGCTAAACAGTTTATCTTTATCCACGCTGTCAATTCCTCTGAGAATTTTATAGGTAGTGATCATGTCTCTTCTGTATTCTGTGTACAGGTTCTAGGGTTTATTGGGCTCTATCTAATCAACATTTGAAACTGTGTATGGAGTCTGCCTACACCCCATCACTGCCTAATGCATTCCATACATTAATACTGAAAATATTGTTTCTGATGTCTCTGAGGCTCATTTGGGTAATAAGTTTCCACCTGTGTCCCCTTGTTCGTGTTCCACCCATGCTAAATAAGTTGTCTTTATCCACCTTGTCAATTCCCCTGAGAATTTTATAGATGGTTATCATGTCTCCTCTTACTCGTCTGTCTTCCAGGGACGTGAGGTTTAGCTCCTGTAGTCTTTCCTCGTAGCTCTTACCTCTCAGGTCCGGGACGAGTCTGGTGGCATACCTCTGAATCTTTTCTAACTTTGTCTTGTATGTAACTAGGTATGGACTTCAGGCTGGAGCTGCATACTCCAGGATTGATCTGACATAAGTGGTATACAGGGTCCTGAATGATTCCTTACTCAAGTTTCTAAAGGCAGTTCTTATGGTGACCAATCTAGCATATGCCGCTGATGGTATCCTTTTGATGTGGGCTTCTGCACGCGCCCACACACACATGAGTGGGTGTGTGTGTGTGAGCGCGTTTGCGAGCGCGTGTCTTTCTGTATGCACATATTAGTGCCATTCACACACATTGCGTGTGCGCATTCACAGACTCTATGGCCTCATTCGTTAGTCTCTCTCTCTCTCTCTCTCTCTCTCTCTCTCTCTCTCTCTCTCTCTCTCTCTCTCTCTCTCTCTCTCTCTCTCTCTCTCTCTCTCTCTCTCTCTCTCTCCTCTCCCTCTCTCTCCTTTCCTCCTCTCCCTCTCCCCCTCTCTCTCCCTTCCTCTCTCATCCCCACGAAAAGGGGAAGTGAATTCAGAACTCCACAACACGCTTGAGTGGCTCCCCGTCCAGCCTTCACCTGGGGAAAATTAATATTATTGTTAGGCTCGCACCCTTGACAATGTCCCGAGGACTTAAGTTAATACTTTTCCCCGCTCTCTTGGGACTTAGCCGGCCGTATTAAATCTTAAACACCAGGGCCCTTAATACCTTGGGCTGGGAGCTGCTGGGATCGGCGCTGCCTCTGGGGGTAGGCGGAGACCGGAGCTGCCTGTAGGTGTATTCCAGTTGGAGAGGGTGAGCACGCACTCGCAGGCACTGCGAACGGATTTGTAAACTCTATTAGGTACGTTGCGTGTGAATAAATGAAGGTTCGCACGCACGTTCGCGCATGCGTACCTCACAAACGCACGCGCGCGTACACACACACACACACACACACACACACACACACACGGTGGAGGCTGACTCCATACACAGTTTTAAGTGTAGATATGATAGACCCCAATAGGCTCAGGAACCTGTATGACTGTTGATTGACGGTTGAGAGGCGGGACCAAAGAGCCAGAGCTCAACCCCCCCAAGCACAAATAGGTGAGTACACACTCACACACACACACACACACACACACACACACACACACACACACACACACACACACACACACACACACACACACACACACACACAGTTTGTTTCTTATTGCATCTTCCAATGTGACAAGACTGAATAATTATATCATACTAGCACCCATTATACAGCGTGAGATTGAAAATGACACTTTTCCCATACAGTGCAAAAAAAGTAAATCATTTCGAGAATGCAATTTGTGAAGTCTGCGGAACACAGCTACTTTCCAGCTTCTCAAATACAGTTGGCAATGAGTTAGCCAATGGTTATCTTAAGAAAAGATAATGTAGAAGGTGAATGAATGTGTTTACGACAGATAGCGAAGATTTAAACACACGAAAAGTCTGGAAAAACTGTCTGTTTTAAACAACACAAACTGATTTAAACACCCGAAAAAGTCTGGAAAAGTGTGAAAAAGAAAATCTTTTCCTTCTCATGTTCGTGTTACTGAACATGAGAAGTCTTTTAGGTCTGTACCAACGAAGCCGGGCTTCATTCCTGCCCGTAATGGAGAGCTATCATCAAGCACACAGTCGACTTGAGAATGGTCCAGGACGGACCGAAACGTCGTCGTCCCTTCACTTTCTAGTGTGTATGGTTTGGTCAACATATTTCAGCCACGCTATTGTGACTCCGCGTCAGCAGGAGCTGTCATCAAATTCTATTGGATCTGTACTATTCCACAGGAGTTTAAGGGAGGGGTCTAACCGGACGGGTATATAAGAGGGACTCAACAATGCATAGCGCGTAAACCTTCCACGATAAAGACAAATGAATGGGATTTATGTTTATTAGATAATTGTCCAATTTACAACATTTTCATCAAAGGACTGTGGAGCCCTGATTTGGCGACCGAATATGCTCATTCACTGGACTTGCCATAACCTACAAAACCCAACGTCTTAACGTAACTATAGACGTAATGAGGCTCAACCACCCACCCCATCCTTGCCAATCGATGCAACGAAAACGAGAACCTTTGCTAAGCTTCCATGTTGCATAGCACCTTGCATTTGGCACGTTGGTTTTCCATAACGTACCATAATGACGTTAAAGGTCGAGAGGGCGATTTGGATTATTACCTGATTCCTTTTTCTTGGTGACCCGGTGACCTGACCTAGCACCTGATGCGCCTTGGTCACCTCCCGCTCGTGTAGATGACCTTCGCTGGTGACCCAACTATTCACGTGATGCATGTGTAAAGAAAGAACTGTATATATATAAACACATTGTACTGAACGGGGTGAAAATAGCTTCAGCTACCTCACCCCTGTGAGTCCTTGTGTGCTTCAATAAACTTATTTAGGTTTCAATTCACGAACTACACCTGTGGTTCGACGTGGACCACCGGTGTACATGTGGTCCACATCGGTGGGTCCACGCCCCACGAGAACCAGGTGTCCCAGTGAGGTACAAGAACGTCTACAGACTTGTGCTAGCGCCACCA